ATGACAAACAGTGTGGAGGAAAGCAAGGTAATGTTTTTAGGAGTGATGAAAAGAATTTAAAGCCAAATTATTAAGGCCTGAACCCTTCTTCATCTTTTTTTTTTTTTCCTTTTTGGGACACAGCCTTGCTCTGTTGCCCAGGCTGGAGTATAGTGGCATGATCTCAGCTCACTGCAACCTCCGCCTCCCGGGCTCAAATGATTCTTATGCCTCAGCCTCCTGAGTAGCTGGGATGACAGGCACCTGCCACCATGCCTGGCTAATTTTTGTATTTTTAGTAGAGACAGGGTTTCACCGTGTTGGCCAAATTGGTCTCGAACTCCTGACCTCAGGTAATCTGCCCGTGTCCGCCTCCCAAAGTGCTTGAATTATAGGTGTGAGGCACTGCCTATCTTTTTGTCTACTGTCTGGATAATTTATGATCAGGAATTTACTTGGTGGTGACATGGCTTACTTTTCCAGGAAGGCAGTGAAAGAGAGCTACTACAGCAACAACTCCTGGAGGCCAATCGAAGAGCCCAGGAATACCGACACCAGCTCCTAAAGAAAGAGCAGGAAGCAGAACAGTACCGTCTTAAGCTGGAGGCCATAGCCCGACAGCAGCCCAGTGGAGTTGATTTTACCATGGTTGAAGAGGTGGCTGAGGTAAATGCTGTAGTAGTCACAGAGGGGGAGCTGGAAGAGAGAGAGACACAAGTGACTGGGTCTGCAGGGACCACAGAGCCTCACACTAGAGTTTCCATGGAAACTGTTTCATCTTAATATGCAAGGGCCACAATTTGCACTGTGTTCATATTAGTCCTCTTTTAAAAAAGAAAATATACAGAAGACAAACATTGCATAAAAACTAAGAGTGTCTTTAAGAAGAAAACTATAGCAGGGTGCAACGCTTGGGCTCAGGAAGGTTCTCTGTGCAATTGGAAAATTCAAAGCCATATTTAGGGAACATTTCTTCTGAGGGGCCAAAAGAATAAGGACCAAATTTCTTAGCTCACATCATTGCTTTAAGCATAGAAGTAAAAGAATACTGCATGCTGTGGGTTGATTTTTTTTTTTTAATAACTAACTTTCTCACAGAAGATTTTAAGATAACATTTCTAATATATATGCACCAATATATATGCCTTTAATAATTATACCATCAAGTGACCTGAAAATGCCCCTTAGATTTATGATGCGTATCTGTTGGAAAAACTAATTGGGAGGGAGGTTAGACAAGCTTTGGGGAAGAGAAAAGGAATATAGTCCATTTCCAAAGGAGCAGGAACACCCAACCTTAAGTTAATTTCACTGAAGAGAATTTTCTTTTTTTTTTTTTTGAGACACGGTCTGACTGTCACCCAGGCTAGAGTACAGTGGTACAGTCTTGGCTCACTGCAACCTCTGCCTCCAGGGCTCAGCCTCCCGAGTAGCTGGGATGAAAGGCATATGCCACCACATCACTGAAAAGAAATTTTTGATTGTCTGACAGATATGCATCCATTGTGTGTCTGTAGCTCAGATGCTTGTGTAAGAAACTGAAATAAGCTGGGTGTGGTGGCTCACATCTGTAATCCCAACACTTTGGGACGTTGAAATGGGAGAACTGCTTGAGTCCAGGAGTTTGAGATGAGCCTGGGCAACATAGTGAGAAACGTGTGTCTACAAAAAATTTAAAAATTAGCCAAATATGGTGACAGGCACCTATGGTTCCAGCTACTCAGAAGGCTGAGGTGGGAGGATCCCTTGGGCCTTGGAGGTCAAAACTGCACTGAGCCGTGGTTGCACCACTGCTTTCCAGGCCTGAGTGACAGAGCAAGACTGTATCTCAAAGGAAAAAGGAAACTAGGCCAGGTGTGGTGGCTCACACCTGTAATCCGAGCACTTTGAGAGGCGGAGGTGGACGGATCACGAGGTCAAGAGATCGAGATCTTCCTAGCCAACATGGTGACACCCCATCTCTACTAAAAATACAAAAATTACCTGGGTGTAGTGGCACACACCTGTAGTCCCAGCTACTTGGGAGGCTGAGGCAGGAGAATCGCTTGAACCCAGGAGGCAGAGGTTGCAGTGAGCCGAGATCACGCCACTGCGCTCCAGCCTGGTGACAGAGCGAGACTCCGTCTCAAAAAAACAAAACAAAACAAAAAAAATAGAAAATATTAGCCGGGCGTGGTGGCACCCACCTGTAATCCCAGCTACTTGGGAGGCTGAGGCAGGAG